ATACAAATCTCATCGCACTGGTTATGTTAAAATAATCATAATTATTTAGTACATACATAAGGCTTATATTGTTGAATTTTGATCCACGACCTCCTGAAAAAACATAATTCTAAAAATACCCTTATATTTTAACACCCTAAATCCAAATTTTCTTTTTTTTATTTTTTAATGGCGACACTTCAAACTCTCTTAAAATAATTGGACTAATTTGACACTTTTACTACTTTGGCAATTATCTCTATCATCTAATAAAAAATAACAATTTGAAAAGTATACAATAAAAATCTTTACATTGAATTAAATAAACTAAATTTGACTTACAAATTTGACCAATAATAATAATAAAATTATGTTGGTATTATATTGAATAGTTTGATTTTATAATAGTATTTATAATTTTGTTTTTATTAGTATATCAATAAAGATTGAAAGAAACTGTCAAAAAAAATTTTCATTGATTTATTTAATTAAAAAATATTGAAATATGATTTTTCAAGTAAATTTTTTTTTTTTACTTTTAAAGTTTCATGAAAGTAATTAGGGGCATTATTACATACATGCCGCTCAAATCTTATGTATTTATATATCTAAAATAAATTTTATTTTTTATATTTATACCATATATAAACATAAAAAAATATCACTATTTTAACTTTTAAAATATGAAATATATGTTCTCATGGATAGGTGAAGCGCAACATACAAAGTAAATTTATACGTTTAGGATGGTTTTTGGAGGTAACAAGGATATATGTTAAATAAGTTTTATTAAATTTGATGGGTCTCGGTGGTGACGGAAAAGGAGCTTGAGCAAATGACAAAATAATATCTAAAATTCAGCTTGCAATCAAATTTATTAAATTCGTATTTACATCCTTAAATAGAGAGAGAGTTGACAAAGTCGATAGAACGAGAAAAAAATGATTTAGGGTCTGTTTGGGGCAGCAACAGTTTATCAATAATCTGCTGCGCAACATTTGCTTTAGGAAGTTACTGCGGGAAAATTGTTGCAGATAAATTGAATGACTGTTTGTTTTCTATGATTTAAGAATAACTGTGTGGGCAGCTGTTTTTGGATAAATGAAACATTTGATTTATGTTTGTTTTTTTTTTATATTTAGTTGAATTTAAGTTAAATTCCATGGCTAAATTCGTTAAAAGCATGCTACTAAATGCTGCCTTGGCATTACTTGTGTAAGGGTCTGTTTAGCGCAGCTTCACAACTTTTTAGCTGCAGTTACACTGCCACAGGAAGCTGCCACTGCCCCAGGAAGCTGCTGCGGGGAAGCTGACTGTCTGTTTGGTGCAGCTGTGTGAAAAATGACCATTTTGTCATTATTTAGTAAAACAATTTAAAAAAAGACTGTAACGATGAAATTTTTTAAACTTCATGAGCAAAATTTTTAATGTAATGAATCAGTGAAACTTGAAAGTGTTAATTGTTGGGTAATTTTAAAAGTTATGAATATCAAGATTTGACGACCAAACACATATATTTTAATTTTTCATCAGTTATGAACATGTAAACGTAAACGTTGCTAAAAAATTTAGACTGTGAATTAAAATACCCATTTGTGTTATATGTTACAACAATAATTCATCTTCTACGTAAAAAATGATTTCATGGAAGTACATGACTACTATTTAGTTCAAACTTCAATGATAACTGTCAAGAATTACATAAACACATTTCAAGTAACCGATAATATAAAGGAAGAAAAAAAAAAAAAAAACTCTAAAACTATTATATTATAATGACAATTAGCAAGATAATTTTATTATTTTTAACATTTACACGGTGTAGCTCCCTGCCAGACTTTCCTCAAGTGATGTTCTTCATTCTCGATCAACGTCATCTGGGGATTCGTGCATCAACATGTGTTTCGCCAATTGTGCCGATGCAGTATTGATTAAGTAAATGATAGGTAATAAAAAACATTGTATTGTCGAAAAAAAATAACTGAATTGCTCTCAAGACATTACCTTCAAAAATGACATATAACGCACATCATGTGATATTTCCGCGGGTGTCCGCTCGAAATTAGGATTTGATGGTTTGACGACAAGTGCTGAAAGACTAACAAATGCGCTCAATCCAATTAGAAATACCTGCTAATTGTCTCGAAGGAGTGCTGAAAATGCTCAATCATGGATTCATTTATTCATTTTGAGATAGTATGTACAGTGTTATTGCGAGCACCTCACTTGAAGTAGTTTTGCTTGAACTATGAAGTCCGTGAGCGCCTACGAGTTCCTCAAGAAGTTCGAGTAATACTTCCTGGCTCATTCGAAACATATTACTAAATCTTGTTGGGTGGCCTGCTAGCAACTCCCCAACCTATTTATCACCGATATATGGAGATGTCATGCACGACAACCGATTAATGTACGTAGTGTAGTACTCATAGATTAAGCACATGACAGTAATCAACATTTCTCTCCACCTTCTCCTGCGTGCATCCATGTTAACGGATATTTGTCGTCTTCAACTAGTATCCATATGGATTGGTATATTTCAGTCTAATCCCCATACATTATTGAATTGCTTAAATAAATCATTTTGATAAATATGAAAAAAAAGCAGTAGCATATAATAACGTGAATACTAAATGATTGACATCAAAACAAATACAATAAACAATTAAAATGCATTATAAAGTACTACAATAATAACTCAGATTTAAAGTACAACAATAAACAATTAAAACAAAATGCATTATAAATGTTCATGACATCAAAATAATTGAATATCTCAAATGTTTAGGCGATTATAAAAACACCGAACATAAGTCAATCTGCGCTTAGTTGACATCTTCACAAAGATATTTCTATGAACCGGGTCTTCTATTAATTCTGTTGCAAAGAGATACAATTCGTCATCCTCATAAACTTCTTGTGACTCGCTCAAAATTTATAGTGCCTCCTTTATAGTTGTGAATGAGAAACCTGCTATTCTGCTTTGTAAGCAGAAACAAATTGGGAGAGTTCTTTTCTAAGAAAACTAGCACCATATTTTGTTCTATTGTCAACCCTCGACTTCTTTGAAGGGAAAGTGGTCTCATATTCGTTATGCTCATTTGAAGGGAAAGTGGGCTCATATTCGTTATCCTTCGGGCTGGGGACTTCAGTGGAATCACTTAAACCTCCAAGGGTTCCAATATTGGCAGCGTTGCCAGCAAACCCAATCTCGCTTGAGCAATATGCATAGTTTCCAGTTGCGACCACCCCCCCAAACATGCGGTTGAGTTTTTCCTCTATCTCAGGAATAAACACATTTCCGGTAATATTAAATTTCTTTATTGTAAGAACCACCTACAATGAAATAAAAAAAAATCCAATTAGAAAAAATAAAGAGTAAAAACTAAGTAAATATAGAAATAAAACTCACTGCAAGTCTTTCAGACCATCACTCCTTTGGTGCATCAACTGTTCGTTTAACTAGATCTCAACCTAACTCCGTTGAGCCTCGTTTCAAGTCCTTCCAAATCTTCCAATCTTTCTTAAGCTGATCTCACTTATTCTTCAACTATACTCTCTGTCTGTAATTTTCTTAAAATTTTTTATAATATTTTGTCACCTTTCTTTATTGAAGAAAGTAGTTGGTTTGTTTCCCATATCAATTTCCTTAAGGCAAAGATCGCAAAAAATTATTTTTCGTTTCTTTTCCCCAGAAAGCCAGTGGGGCAAACTCTTTGAACTTATTAGCCATTTGTTTTACTACAACAAAACATATAAATGTAACAATACTTAAGAAAACAAAGTCACATTAAATGATAGGAACAATATGAAGCTTTCATATTTCACCACAAAAACAAATAATCTCATCAAGAGATAAACAAAAACTCAAATTAAGTGTATAAAAATGAAAACTCAGAACTTTCTAATCAAATTTTAGATAAAAGATTAGAAGCAACTAAATTGTTCATATGCATACAAACATATATATCCAACATTAGTTAGTATTGCAAATATGGAGTACATCAAAATAAAAAATAAAAAAAAACAAATAAATCATTACTATACTCATTTAAACTTACCCTTCATGTTCTTGATTTATTTGCTAGTTAACCTAAAAAGTACTTAATGATAGACCGTATAATTAAAAAAATTTCCAAATATTCTTGCTACTTCTCAAAGTAGTTCCTTCTTCACTTCCTCTTGTTCCTTAAAGGAAAGATCAACTACTTCTCCACTATTGGTTGACATTATTTTTTTTAAGGAAAATGCTTCCTCTAAATAAAAAAGAGTGAAGAAAAAAAGTTCCATCGGCATCAATATGATTTACCTCACATGTTTTTCATCTTCATTTTT